CCTATAGCCGGCACCGGTGACCGCAAACAGCCGCCTATAGCCGGCACAGGTGACCGCAAACAGCCCCTCCAGCCGGCACCGGTGACCGCAAACAGCCGCTCCAGCCGGCACCGGTGACCGCAAACAGCCCCCTGAACCCGCACCGGTGACTGCAAACAGCCCCTCCAGCCGGCACCGGTGACCGCAAACAGCCCCTCCAGCCGGCACCGGTGACCGCAAACAGCCCCCTGAACCCGCACCGGTGACCGCAAACAGCCACCTGAAGCGGCACCGGGCCCAGCGCGCTCCAGGCCCGGCCCGGCCCGCGCGGGCGGAGCGCGGGCGGCACCGCCCGAGGCCCCTCCCGGCCGCAGCCGCCGTTGCCGAGCACCCGCAGCCGCCTCAGCCCCGGCTCTGCCTCAGCCCCGGCCCTGCGCGGCTGCTCCGCGGCTCCTCCGCAGCCATGGCGAGCCTGTACAGCCCCTCCGCCACCTCGGTGCTGGCCGAGCTGGAATGGGAGCCAACCTACGCCATCCCTGTGGCCAACGCCGAGAACAAGGCGCTGGAGGAAGAAGTGAGCGCGGGGCCGCGGCCGGAGGGAGGGGAGATTGCCTTTTCCCCGGGCCGGGGAGGGAGAGATGGAAGGATGGAGGGATGGATGGAAACCCCACGAGTTCCGCGGAGCTGCCCGGGCGATCGGGATGGAGATCCTTCCCTCCGAGCGTCCCCGCATCCCCCGGGCTCCTCGGAAGGAACCCTGCGAGTTGTGCGCTCTCTTAGCAAAGCTCCGCTTTTTCTCCAGAAATCCCTAATTTCAYTGCTTTGGAGGAACGTAGCCGCTGCTTCTTACGTTATTTTTTATTCAAAATTGCAATGACTGTTTTTAGGTAGTTGCAGGTAATAAGCACTCAGCTGCAAACAGWAACTTGACGATTCTAACTTTTAAACAGCTGCGGAAGATGCTAAAGGAAAAAGAGGAACTGCAAAATGAGGTGACCAACTTTGAGGAGCGCATAGAAGCAATGACGTCTTATTTGAAAAATGTGAGACAGGAGATAAACTTCTCTCAGGTAAATCACCACCTGTAGGAGATCCGTTTTGTCAARCAAACTTGTAACCTGAGTGTTTCTCTGTGGCTGGTATTCCCATCTATTTTGCCAGCTTTGTTAGAGATAATGTTGGTTCTTTAATCCAGAATTTCCACAAAAAACAAACTCGGTATCTCAGTGATGTTATTTGATGGTCATGAAGAAGACCACTCAAGTGACTGKACCTAGAGAAAAGCCAGGAAGGGTGCATTTTGGAATTCTTCATGAATGTGGACTGTTGTAGATACTAATAAAAAAAATTGGTCAAGAAAAGCACCAGTGTAAGCAAAAAATAAATTTAGAATTTYAACATTGATCAATAGTTAATTGTGAAATGCTGGTGAAGACTTAATTCATAGACATGAAAAATGAAGTGAGATGGTCAAAGTCTAAGTCTTACACTCAACCAGCCAAGGGCTGATTTATATTTCTGAAGAGTCTTGAGACAAAACTTTATACCTTTCAGATAAAATGTCCTGGGTGAAAAAGTCTTAAGAAACTTCCCTGCAGCTGAACAACTTTTAATAAATACTAAAATTTAATAATACTAAAATACAAAAGTTTTCTCTGAATGTTCTTTCATTTACATGTTCTTTCATTTACACAATCTCTGACTTGGGATTTGATTGTATGTAAAAAAAAAAGTTTGTTGATACGTGCCTTTTGTTTATAGTAAAATACTGTACTTTATTGTTCTCCAGTCTCTTTACAAAGCCAAAGAGAGTGAAATTGAAACTGAACATCACTTTAAAGCCCTTGCTGAGAGAGAATATGGACGTCTCAAAAGCGACATTAAACGACTGAAAGATGAGATAGCTGCCTTAAGACAAAAGAAAACCATGCAAGAAGTAAGGTTTGAAATTTTTGGAAGAGAACGCCTATACTRCAAAATTTTATGGCTTGTCCTCACTTGCGCTTAGAGCAACAATAGAATAAGTCAAGAATATGTAATTATAATTAGAGCTTATGAAGTGCAGAAGTTTATCTGGATGGGCTTTTCCCTGTGTAGGACAGTGAGGATCTCCTTGCTGGAGACTGGTCAAGACTTAGTAAAGATTGATTAGATATTGAAAAAGTTCTGTTCCTAATGCCAGATACACAGCCACACATCCATATCACTGTCTTGTTAATTCTCACAGGTATTTTCTTAATGRTTTAAAAATAAAATCGTTGGTGACAAATCTTCTCTACATAAAATAAATGTGGGGCATGATTTCAAGATCAAAGATTTTTTTGAAGGTACAAAGTAATCTAATGCTACCCAATTACAGGTGGTTTTCTGTATTTGTAAATGTCTCCTTTCTATTCATAATTCAATTTTTTTAAAAAAAATTTGCTCTTTTTCTCTTTTTAAGGCTGTTTGTCTCTCAGAATGGGTAGCAGAATGCAGATATTAATACTGTTCAGCTGGATCTACATTCCCTCATTCTTGTGTCAGGAAATCCCTGAGCAGACACGTGGGGCCATTTGAAAATTGATATGTAGGATAAGGGTCTAACAACTGGGCCTTAATGAATGAGGGAAAAACTTTACCTTTTGATGCCTCAGATCAGTTTATAATGTGGATTAAATAACCTGCATATGGGTATATCTTGCCCGAAGTTGACGTTTCTGATTGAAAGTATTTGCATTTTAAATTTGTGGCAACCTACTGACTTGTTTCTTCTTTAAAACCAGGATGTCCAATAGCAGTCCTCAAGTATAGCACACAATTATTAAAAAGGAAAACTATCAATTCTGTGGACAAGATGTTGGTAGACTTGTTACAGTAGCTTGAACTGGTTGTTAAAATTACTATTCAATTAATATTAGACATTTGGTATTGAACCTTTAATTTTCTCCTATTTATTATAGAACACTATAAATAAAACCAYGAAGAAGCTGAAAAACCTAAAAGAACAGATGAACTGTGATGAGGAAGTACTGCAGAGCTGGATAGAGGAATTAAATCGTTCAGATGATAATGCTAATGCAATCCAGAAGTATGCACAGCAAGATGAAGGGAAACTAGAAGTAAGTAGAAATTGCAGCAATTTTCAGAAACAAAATGGAGAACCATTTTATCATTTGAAGACCTTGTTATGTTATCAAGTCAGATAAAATGAAGACAAAGTTTTGTACAACACTGCTTTTAAACTGGTTGCCATTTAGCACAACAGTGCAATTCCGTATGAGGCTTATTTTGAAGTTCAAAGAGAACAGGGTTTACAAGAATCAGAGGCATAATTGAAGACATTATTTTCCTTGTTCATCTGGGTAAGATTTAAGTTTAATTTTTTGAGAGGGTGCATAAACAATAAAGTCTAGAAAACAGCACCACTGAATTAAGAGGAGTTTGTTCAAAAATTCACAAGTATGGACAAATAGTGAGGAGAAATTTGATCTTTACTTATTAAATACTTAACCAAAAACCTTTAGTTTACACAAACAGTCTCACTGCTGTATTCCAAGGGTGCTACACCCACACTTACACACAGTGGAGGGTTACTTTGGCCTTACTGCAGTCTGGTCCTTAATAGGCCTCCTGCAGAACTGAAAATTAGGAAACTTGTCAATTTTCTGTTCCCTAAAACACAGTAACATTGATGYCTCAATAATTCAATCCCTAATTGTAGCAGGATTTTAAGAATTTATAAGATTAATTTATTTATTAAAATTTATAAGATGTGATCTATTTATTTTCCAGTACTTAATTTTGGAATATTTTCATATCCTTTCATTTTAGGCATTAACCCTTCAAATAGAAAAGTTGACCATGCAAGCAAATCAGAAGCGCAGAGCTCTGGATAATGAGCTTACAGAAACCGTAACAGCTCAGGTTTGTGCTTAAGGTTCTGGAAGATTCCTTGTTTATATGTGACATTTTTCACATCAGAAATCATGGGGGTGCTTTCTTTTAAACAGATGGAGCTTGACAGAACAGCTGAAGATTTTCGCCGAGTTCACCAAGAGAGGCAAGAAGTCATCAGGCAGTGGGAGAATGCAATTCAACAGATGCAAAAAAGAGATCAAGAGATTGATCATTGTGCTTTGGTAAAAGTGCTGTAACTGATCTGTATCTGGGTTTTGGAGGTTTTTTTTGTTGTTTGGGTTTTTTTATAATATCAAAAGTTCACTGTCATTTTCTGAGTACCTAATCTTTTACTTAACCTTTCGAAATGCACAGTTTTATTTTCATTAGAGTTTATAGTGTCATTTTTTTTAAAAAAAGATCTTTGGAAGTTTTCAGTCCAAAACAATTTTAGTGTTCGGTGTGATATATCTGTGGAATAAAGTAATTTTAAGAACAATAACTGGCCTATCTCAGGCAAATAGTAATCATAATAGGAATTGATCTTCTGGTTGTATGCTTCATTAATCTAACACAGCTAATGCAAGCAAATCTGAAATGTTTTTATCTTGATAGCTAATTGCAGAGGTWAAACAGGAGATCAGAAACAAAGAACTTCTGCTGAGAGAGAAGACTTCCTTTTTGGTCAATGAAACTGTTAATAATATGGAATATGAAAAGAAAATCTCTTCTGCTGAGCGGGAAGCAAACAACCTGCGAAAGGAGTATCAGACTCAGGATGCTCGCAGGACTGAGCTGCAGGATGCGGTAAGGGTGACCAAACAGTTCAGGAAAACAGGCAAACTATAACTGAGGACCAGATGGAGGAAATACAGGCATAGCATTTCTTTTTTTCTGGTTTTATACGAGACTCTTAATAATTCAATAAAATGTTGCTCCTCTCAGCCTACTSCTGTTTATTAGGATCTGAATCCTCAAATGAATTCTGTCAATGAGAGTGGTGAAAAGACTGGAATGTATTTATTCTCTCTTGTGTTGGTGTAAAATGGATGGATTTTCTCTTAAATGGTCTAACACTGTTAGATGATTCTGGAGGCTTTTTATCTTTAGCATACATAGACTGCAGTATTTTATCAAGATGAGAGAAATCTCTTCCAGATTCCAAGCAGTTCCTGTCCTGTGCTCTCAAAAGTGTATGTTGTTGGGCCTTGTAGCCAGGTTACAATTCCTGGGGAAAACACCCAGGGCTTTCACATGGTTTTCCAATCAAGGGGCAGTAGGACAAGGCTGCCCTGTGAACAAGCCATGCTTGATGCTGTCCATATTTACTCTGCACTTAAATCTGGGAATGAGCTGCCCTGCTTAAATGCTTGTAGAAGTATTTCTTTCTAAGAGACAATTCACGTTTCATGGCTGTGCTGAGAAGGGATGTACTTTGTATTATCTGAGTAAGCTTTTTCTTAACAAGAAAATGGTAACACTGGGGTACTCAGCCAGTTTGCTGATTTAAAAAAAAAAACACTGCATCTGCTGTTGCCTTAACTTTGGATAGCTTTTCTATAGCAGGTGGTTCATAGACTGATCTCCTAATTAAACTGTAGGTAGCTCAAATAAGGTGTAGGCTATTAGATTACTCTATAATTCATGCAAGCTTGAGGGTTTGTAGAATTGGTCAGGTTTCATTGCAAGCTGTGAGATTCTTGCATGAAGTTTTTCATAATTAATACTCCATGATGTGATAAATAGAATAGTCTCCCCTTATTAGAACATCTGTGGCATGCATATGAGAAACAAGGAAATAAGGAGACAATTCAGCCAACAACTTGTGACCTCTAAGAAACCTGCTATACATGYCCTTGATCAGGTTTCTTCATCTGTGAAAGTGAAGACAATTACACTTCTGCTGTTAACTTGATACTGTGAAGATGAACGAGCTGTAGAGTATTCCTATCCTGTTTAATGACTGTATGCAATCATGTATTTTTACCAAATTAAGTATCTCTGTATTTTTGTCACCGTGATCTCTTATCTTAACTAAAATAATTTTACATATCCAGCAAAGTTTGACTTAGGAATGTTTGTTAGACATATTAGGCTACCCATGTTCACAAAGAACCTCAGCAACATCTCCTGTGCACTATAAAACCACAGTTCCACTCATACAGATGCTGTGGGACAAGAATTGCAGTCCACAGCATTTCCATAATTCATTCTATGTTCTTAATTWTTATTTTTTTCCCAGTACTCATACTATGTAGATTACTCTATTGAATTTACTAGCTGGGCCGATTTATAGTGCCTCAGAATTTGTGGCATTCCTCATTTGGAGAGCACTGTTTAAAAATAATGAAATACTTTTGTCGTGGTTTAGGAAAATGCAATTTTAAATATCTTAACATGTACCAAAGTAAATAAGAGCTTGGTTGCTCGATTTTGTGATTTATTAGCTGCAGGCTTTGAAATCCATTGTGAACAGAACTGCTTCTGATCTGGAGTCTTTGAGAACACAAGTAGCCAATCTGAAGAAAGAAATTCAGGCAAAACAAGCCAGGTAAGAACAGATCTTTAAAGATATAATATGTAAGGATTAGTAATACAATCAAATCCTTGAGATAGCAAAACATCTTAAATAATGTTGATGATTAAAGACTCCAACTTCCTGGTTACTTCATGTCCTGCACAGTTTTTGGCATTGGGTAATTTAGGAAATAGTCCAAATAGTCCTGGTAATCCTTGTTTTTAAAGGATGTGAAAAAAAAAAAAAATCGGGGCCTTGCTTATCATAGGTTGAAGTTTAGACTGAGACAAGCTCTCAGTCAGATTTTCTGCTTGCTTTTGGCAGCATTGTATGGGCAACCTACATTGAACTTATTCATTTTGTTTAGATTAAACCTGCTTAATGAAAAAAATGCAGTTCTTTCTGCTAAGCTGAAGCTTGCGATTGAGGAGACACTCAGTTCAGAAGAGAAAGCCTTGAGGTTGGAAGAAATATTGAAAGAAGAAGAAAAAAGTGTCGAGGTAAAAATGTTTTTGAAGGTTTCTATAAATGGAGAGTCATTTGCACTTGCAAGGTTTGAATTTTAAAATTATCCCTTTAATTTTAAAGTTTTCTTTAAAGATATTGCCACTGAAAATTTCATGGCTCTACTAAAACACCACCCAAATTTATAAGTCTGCAAAGAGCTGTGATTTTGGCAAATGGATTAAAAATATTCAGAAGTCTTACAATCAGATTTGGCTGGCCTAGTCTGCTCTTCATTAATGTAATTCTATTATGTGATACTCTGACACTTCTAACTTACGGACTATTCAATAATTACTGGCTCACTTTATATTTCATTTYTGTGAATAAAAATTTTGATCTGGGWGGTGGCATATACAAGCTATAATAAGGTGACTATTTTTAACATGCCTAATAATACTTTTATAAAATTAAAAACCCACTTCTTAGGTTAAAAATTAAGTATAGGAATAAAAATTCATTATGATCTGATGAGCCGTAAAAGGCTTTTGAATAAATGCAGTGTTGTAATGCAGTCTTCTGAACTTTCCTGCATTTCACATGCTTATACTCTTTTGTCATTTTGCTACTAAATCTCTTAAAGTATTTTCACTGCTTCACTTCTGACTGAACATGACAGAAATATTTTTTTTACATTTTCCTAGACAATTGAGCATTAGGTATGCTGAAGCTTTCATTGCTCTAGAATGACCAGGTTAAATTAATGTGACAGCTGGTGTCCCTCACAACTGACAACAAAGCTGTATCTGTGCATATCACTGTGTGCTCTTTTTTTTCTTCCCTAGTTTGTATTTCCTGCAACATGCATGTGAAATAATGCCTTGCAGTAGATTGAATGTTATTTTTCAAACTTTTTAACTCCGCAGGCATTAATCACACATTTTAAATATACTTCCAGAAACTAGAGATGGGATGTGTTTCCTTTATASAGAGTTTCTTAAATTACAGGCCTTACTGTTTTGGCTTTTCAGATAATTTGAAAACAAGTTGTAATGGTGTAGCATTTCATTAGAATGAAAACCTTATTTGCTTMCCCTTAAGACAGTTTCCAGGGTGGCTAAAGCCTTTGCAGGGTTTCTTTACTCGTGACATTGAGCTTGGCAGCTCTGCAGCTCCAGGGCARTATTTTAGCTAGGATGAACTGTTCTTGAACAATGTCTGTAATGTATTAGTCAGAAGCATCCCTTCCATCATCATTAGACACACATGGCTATTTGCTGCATCTGTTAATTTACTGTGAAGAGATATTTACAGGAACAATGTGGATAAGATGTCACTGTTGTGCTCTCTAGTTTTGTGGTACTTCTCCCTCTTCAGTTTGTAGCAAAACACTTTTGCACAGTGAAGCCTATTGAATATCTTATATCTATCTACAACCTCACTGAAAGGGAGAGCAAAAATTTCTGTTAAATAAATTAATTTAGAYATGCAATAAAGACCATGTTTTAGCAGGTACCTCACAGGAAACTGGCAGGCCMAATGGCCTGAGCTTTGGAAGGTCTTTGGCTATTTGATTGGGACAGGTGGAAGGGGGAAGGGAAGAATAAAGTTGTTTTCCTTGTTAGGGGTATAAAAAGTTTTAATAAACCATTGAAAAGCTTTGTATTATATTTCTCCAAATATTCCCAGATGCTGGAGGYAATAAGGAGKTTWTTTGAAATGAATGACAGGAATTTARTTTTCTGAAACACTGAAAAGAGTAGCATTCCTCTAACTGGGAGAAAAAAAGTAATTTAATAGTAAGGCAGGATTAGATTTTTCAAAAATGAATAAAAATTATTAATTTCTCTTTAAGTCAAATACTRTTTTGCCAACCATTTCAAAGACTTTAAAAATTCCATGTTCAATTTAATGGATATAGTAATTTTTTTTTAATATATGACTAATAAAAGCAAATAATTCTTCAGAGATTAATTCTAATGTGATTAATTACTTCTTTCTTCTACTTAATGATCATTTGGTAACCAGGAAAAAGAAAATGAAATGAGACAGTTAAAGGAGCTACTTTTCAAGAAGACTCAAGAGTTAAAAGAGCAGAGGGATAAGGAGAAGCTTGTTCTGACAGAAATTGAGGGAGGTCAGAAATTACTTAAAAATCTCAAGAGTCGACTGCGCAAACTTGATGCAGATCTGTTAAAACAACARGAATTAATTTATGACCAGGTAAAATGTTAATGTCTTTTCATACTAGGAGTGTTTCTTGGGTTTACTGATAGTGCATTGCTTGAATTATGTRACCTTTAACCTTTTTCCATTTTGCAAATGTTTCACAGTGTAATTTGAAGTCTGCATTTATTTCTGTCTCTAGATGTACAGATAAAATTGAAATTACTGAAACTTGGTAAAGTATCACCTACATTTTGCACTTGTGTATTTCATTATCATTTGCAATCTGCTGCTTTTCCCACTAATTTCTAAAATCCATTCTTTACTTTGATCCCTCTGAACCACAGACACCTCAGGGTATATTTTTAAAGCAATACAAGAGGTACATGCCAAAATCCTGTTATTTACTAATTGGATTATGTGCATATTTCCTATGCATCACTTTGAAAATTTGCTTTTTTGTAGCAACATGATGGCAGCTCCACTGTAAGCCTCCCTATAGCAGCTGTGCTGAGTGTGTTTTGTTACCCTTCTAGAAGATTACCCCAAACCATCMCTGCTCATCATCATCTAAGATATTTTGCTAATGAGGTCTATAAGCCAGAAACTAATATAAAAACAATAGCTTAATTGGGTGACTGTCCTAAAGCCAGCACTTAGATCCAAGTTCATTGCTTGTCTCAGATTATTAATTCTCTTCAAATTTATTTTAACAGGATTTTTATATTCAGCAAGTACAGAGACGGCTGTCACGGTTAGAAGGGGAGGTTAATTCAGAAGAAAAAGAAATTTTGGAAGGAAAAATTTCTGAACTTAAGAAAACCTTAGAAGAAAAGAAAAAGACATATGATGTTTTACAGTCACAGTACAGGAAACTTCAGGTAACTTCCTTAGAATATCATTTTGACTGTGTATCATTGAGAAACCTCAGTGAATTAAGTASATTGGGTCTCTGTAATTAAGAAGGTGGTATTAGACAAAAGGTATCTGAACTTTGTGTAACCCAGATGGAAAACTTCATGTATTTCTTATACTTTCCAGAAATATAGGTTATTACTGCCCAAGTGAGAGACCTTAGCATGAACACAAGCATTGAATGTTGGAATGACAAGCTGAGCTTTCATCAGGATGTGACTGACTGCTTGCAAATGTTTGAGTTTATCATAAAGAGCATGCAGAAATAGGAGAATGCTCTTTTGTGAAGCTATCAGTTTTATTTTTTTCATAAATTCATAAGTACAGTTGAATTTAAAGATGTCTAAAGACCCCATGCAGCACTCTGCATGAGGACATGCCATGCAGTTTGCAGAGCAGCATATGGACACATCATGATCATTTAAAATCATCTGGTAGTTCTTGCAATTTACATTCACTGAAATAAGTTCAATATAACTTATTTTGAAACAGAATGATGTCCTAAACATCAGGAGAACAATTGATAAGACAAGAGAAGAAACAAATGGTATGATAGCGAAGATAGACGAACTAAATCTTTTCAATGAGAGATCACTTGAGGAGTTAAAAAAAGCAAAACACATTAAGCAGGTACAGTTTTACTCTGTAACTTTACTAATATCAGGACACTTTTATTTGTTTGGGGTGTTTGCATTCCACAGTGCTACATCATTACATCAATAAGAACCCTTTTTGTAGTTTTCTAATTTACACTTCCTTCCCAAACTTTGAAGTCATCTTCATCACTATTATCTTACATGGCAAAGTGCTGCTTGTCCTCTGTRTACAGCGTAAAGGTTAATGGAATATCAGTTTAATCCCACATTAATTATACCACAAKGTTCACCTGGGCAGCACATTTGGGGTTTTTCCCCCTGAAAAACAATTACCTTTAAAATAGAAAATGTATTTACTGTTCAGGAATGTCTTTACCTAACACTGAGCWTTTACTCTCAATCTGTGATGCCTACTAATTAGTTTGGCACAGTATTGTTATTAAATTTTAAGCATTTTTTTTCTAACATGGTTTGAATCAACTTATATTCCAATTTAAGGAATTAGAAGCAATGTGTAAATCCTTTTCCCTACCTTCTGGTAAGCAGAAAAATACAGTTCCCACTCCTCTAATTATTCTCCTGCAGTAGCTTTAGCCTTCCAAAAAGAAGTGCTAATACAATATAAAAAAGCAGAGTCTAAGTAGCATTTTGCCTTCGACTTAACTGATGCACTTCCTCTTCAATGCAAACTCTTTCCCTAAACATGGAACTTTTCTTTGGGGATGAAATTCATGGGAATAAAATAAAAAAGTTGATGACTTAAAAGTACTGAGCTAAAATGGGTACCGAGTTTGGGATCCATAACAGCAAAATGAGTCTTACAGTGGTATATATATTAAAGGCAAAAAAAACCCTAAATATTAACTCACTAAATTATAAATAATTTTAATTAAAACTATGCTTTCTTATTGTTGTACCATTTGGCACTTMTTAGGAGATGATGGTTGAGGATAATCTCTTAAAACTGGAACTGAAGCGCCTTCGAAATACTCTGTGTAATAAAGCAGAGAAAGTTCTGACACTGGAGAAACAACAGYTGGAGTTAAAGAAAGCCATAGCAGAAAGAAGTGAGGAAATCAGGATCCATAAGGCAATGCTGGATTCCCAGATAAGACTGTTGGATCAGGAACGGCACCGCATGAGGTAACTTCCTACATAAATTGAATGTGTAGCTTTGATTGAGTACATKTTTTATGGGGCCTTTATAAAAAGAGAAGCATCTTACCCAGCTTCACCATTAGAGAAATTAAGGATTAAATAAATCTTGCTCAAAGTTATCAACCAAGGCAGCTAAGGCTAGCAAGAGATTCCTTCTGTGACCCMCAGGCTGCAGCTTTAGCCCCTCAGTGAACAGGAGATCAGTGGCCATGCTGTGAGTGAGGATTCTCAGCAGAACTGAGAGAAAAACCTCAGTCACAGACATCTTTTTACAGTAAACTCTGTATGTGTTACCCTGCATTTTTCAAAATAATCTGGAAATGTGAAATCRTGTGGAGGTATGGCAAAGTATAGAAACAGAAAAGTTGCTTTTAAAGAGGGTTTGCTCCCAGCTGCTTGATAAAATTTGAAGAGTACAACTGGTTTTGTGGTCTGTTTTTTTGGCTGGGTTTTTTCTTCTTTTTAACTAATAAGCCTTCCATTATGTCTTATATAATAAATTAAATCTTACAAATGACATATGTACCCTCTTATAAAGGAACAACAAAAAAATTATTTTTTCCCCCTGTGATAGTCTGTGCAAAGTATCTGGGATGGTTTTAGCCCTGAARTCCCAGCATCTAGATTCAGCCAAGAATGAATACTTCAGCAGCTGAACTGCCCTGCTGACCAAACCCCACACAATGGCAAATTTGAGTGATTTAGTGTGACTGAGGCTTCACTGCTCACTGAGAGCACAGACTGTGGCCTTYTGCCTTTGGTATCACCCCACTATTGGATATTTCCACAGAATCTGATTTGGGGCTGTTCCTGGCTGTTGCTCACACTYATCCTGCAGTGGGAATGTTAAACTGCCATCAGAAAGGGCAGCTCTGGCATTGAAATGCCAAAGCTGTAAATCTGGGGCAGGACTGTGGCACAGCCTCTCAGGATTCAGTGACCTGGGATGTGAAAACAGATTTGACTCCATTTAGAACTGCAAAAGACTCATAGGTAACCAGAGCAACGGATGTTTGTGGCTGGGAGATCACAGAAAGCAAACCAAAAYCAGCAGCAGCACAATTGCTGGTACAGGCTGCTGGAATAATACCAGGAATTTAAACTGCTGCAGCAAGAACTGCACACAAAACACTACCAGACAAACACTTTCTCAACCCATTTATTTTCTCCCAAACAAATCAGTGCTGAATTCCAAGAACGCCTGTGGAAAATTGATAAACTGAAATGCAGATATGAAATTTTTACTCTTTCCATGATGCCACCTGAAGGAGAGGAGATGAAAAGTCAGGCCTACTATGTAATTAAGGTATTTTATCAACATAATTCATTATAATTCAATTATTCAAGATACAGATTTCACTGGGCTCTGAGACAACCTCCTTGCCTACTACCCACCTTGAGTCTAATTGTTTTATATTATCTGACACCACTGGTTATTTAAATGATATAGTAATTTCACATAGCCTTAATTCTRAGCAGTTTGAAAACTTCAGTGCTCATTAATTTACAAATACACAAGAATTATTGGTCAAGTGATAACCAGTATGAACTGAAAATAACTTYATTGGAATCTCAGATGACCTTAAGTTCTTCAGAGTTATTTCCAGATATTCATTTTACCACATGAGGTTTATACCTTGAAGAATGTCTGCTTTCCCCTTTCACTTACCAACCACCCATGTATATGTCAGCTTTTCTCTGGGAAAAAAAAATCAGATTTTATCCATAATTTAGTACCCTGGTTTTCTTCATAATTATCYTAATATTTTCAGTATGTCTGCAGTCACCTAAAATACTGGTTTTGTTTTCAGGCTGCACAGGAAAAGGAAGCACTTCAGCAAGAAGGTGATGATTTGGATGCAAAGATCTCCAAAGCTGAAAATGAAATCATAGCTATGGAAAACAGCTTGTATGTACTTAAAAACTGGAACAGAAACTACAGAAACTCTCTCAAGCCAGTCCCTGACACACGTATGTGAATTAGAAATTAGATAGAAAATAGATAATACTTGTTATTCAACTTTTGTGCCCTCTGCTGGCTCTGGAWCCAGTAGCTCTTAAATCATTCTCCCTCATGAAGCCAGAAACTTTTTCACAGTGATTTGGAATTAGTAGAAGAGTATTTAAAAAACCCTCAAAACTTGAGGTGCTGAATTGTTGCCAACACCAAGACAGTAATARTCTGTGATGCAGTTACTTAAAAGTGTAACTTATTTTCAAGTGGAAATTGAGTTGTATACACAGCAATAATGCTGCCTCATTGTTTGGGATTACAGGCGATGATCTTGAGGAAAAACTGAAACTAGAGAAGGAGCAAAGAGATGCTGATGAGAAATACAGAAACAAAAAAAGACAGGTCAAGGAACTTCAGGAAAGTCTCCAGGTAAAACACAAGTTCCAGTCAAACAACTAGCAGCATGTGGCTAAATCCATGCAAGTCATCTTACAGGAACAGTAGGAAATTGTGGTAAAAATTTTTGTCTGCTCTTTTTAGATACAATCTTTAGAAAGCTCTATCTTTCCTTTCAAAAACTCAGTGCTTATTTGAACTTTCTTGAATCACACCAGAATTTCAGGTATTTTAGTCACATATACAGCTAGAAGTTTCAGAATCTCACGTGCACTGACTGCTGACTAAAGCAGCTGTAGTCATGKGCAGCACTCACCACTATTGTACCTGTCCAGCACTACAGATTAAAATCCACACAGCTCGTGACCTCTGGCCTCTATGACCCACAACTTTTCTGGAACAGATTCAGTTGTATTAGCAYTGAGGGTGCCTCAGTTAAACAGGATTAATTTAGCTGACTCGTAACTTAGCTGGCTGAGCTCTAAACACTAGCAAACAAGAGTTTGTGTTCAGGCTCCTCAGCAAGGATTCACCCATGGTTCCCCTAGTTATCAAAAAAGTCACTTGGATCTTAAGAAAAGAGAAGCAGTTAATTCTGATGTATGACATTTCAGTTGTAATTTTATTAGGCAGAAGAAAGCAAAGGAACATGATCATATTCCACGATTGTTCAAACCCCTCATTCACTGCCTACAGTCAACAATCACTCCTGTTGCTTATTCTACCACCACAGGACATCTCTCTTATTTCAGAGATGTTATTTCTTAAGGTACAGGAAAGGGACACAAGTCTTCATCAGGGAGTAAGTCCAGAGATATAACATGTTACAGCAAGCCTATCCCCACCTTTTTATTTTTGAAGTTTATTTTAGATAATTGGTTATTAAAAAAACAGCTGCCCTTATGGAGCTCATTTTATTCATTCCAGTCAAAGATATCCCTCTTTTCCTAAAGGAAACAATGTTGGGTTTTTTTCTTAGGATAGCTTGCACTGGTAAGTTGATAGAGTGCCAGGTAAATAGTTTRTAGACACTCTGAGATACAGCTGAGAAGACATACCTGTAACTTCATTAACTGTACCTTGAAAAGAGATGTAAAATACCTGGAAGTTCTTTGTCCTGGTCTGTATCCAACAAACAGTTGGACTGGCAGAAAGTTTCAAGTTAACATTAGYACTAATTGCTTTAAATACGTTTAGAAACAAGTGGTAATGACAATGAAGTCATCCCACAAAGTAATATAAAAAGTGAAAGGGTACATCAGCTGCTTAACGAACTGATACTACTGTTCAAATGAATTTGCAGAGCATGAAACAACGCTTTGAGATAGTAGAGAGTCAGCACGCCCTCTACGAAGAGCAAAAGAAGGAAAAAGAAGCTGTTATTTTGCAGCTGAAGAAAGAAATTGAAGAACAGAAGCCAAAGCTAGAAAGGGTTATAAAACAGGTTTGTGTAGTTATTGATGACAACTTCTAACTTTATAGTGATAGATAGTAGTGAGGGTTAAACTCTGTGGTTTTAACTTAGCAACTTTCTGAAGTGTTGTATTTTYGTAAGAATAATGCTTTAAAAATATTTATGTTAAGTGTTCCAGACTCTCCAGAGAAATTCAGTCTGAGAGGAAAAGTGAAACAGAAACACAGGAAGAGAGAGACATTAATCTTCGTGAACTGAAAGGTTTCAATAGAACTATCAACCAAGTGATAATTGATATTATGGAAACAAATCCTTCTTTAAGTACAGCCTTTCAAAAGTACTTTGAAAAGGTGAGCTTTCCAGTTAACTGCCACCAAAATCTTGASTGAAAGCTCCAGCCTATCATTGAGTGTCTTTCAAGGACAATTTATGATATATTTGTGGTAAAACAGTAGTGTTCACCTGCTTTCAATATCTCTTCAAATGCCAAGTACTATAAATGCTCCTGATATTCCAATCCTATTACATAACCATCAGGTCAACTTGTTTTTTCTTTCCACATTTTCCAGTTCAATTTAGAGCTTCCTACAATTTCTTCTCGCGGTGCCAGTCAAATGTCTCAAACCCCACAGAGCTCAATGCCTTCTACCAGGTAAGTACTAACACTTTTGGGTTGGCTTRAGGGCTTTTTAAGATCAAGTTTAAACCAACAAAATTAGTCCCTAATTGAAAGAATTCCTCACTCCTGAAGGTCTTCTCAATTGTCTATACTTGCTGAAGATTCTATAAAAACTTTCTCATTACTCTGTCCTTTAAGTTTACTACATTTTTCTAGCATGTTTACTTCAGTGTCATCCATCAGTTTAGAGAAACCAATAATTACAGAATAATTAAATTTTTGTTAACTGTGCACTAACTAAAAAAAGTGCTTTGATGTTGTAAAAGCACAATTTTGAGCCTCATTTTACACTAGGTAGTGTGAACTTCCCTTCCTAATTAAAATATTGATGCTTTTACTGGTATCTGCTTCCCCTGTTTAAGATAGTGTCAGATAGTGCCTGTACCATGCTGACCCAGTTATAATCCAACATTCCCAGGGGTTACTGAGGCCATTTAGTGGTGGTGGCTAGAGAGATCTTTTTAGGGGATTTCAGCTTTGGAATGAACATGGTGGCTTCCTTATGAGCCACTCTTGGCAGCTGTTTTACATGCAAGGATTTCTGTATCCTAATTAGTGATTTTTTTTCTTTCAGATGCACCAGCAAATGTTCAGCCAGTAGTCAGGCTTCAATAGCCAATGTCGTGGAACTGACCTTGCTTACCCGCACCACTGACAAAGCAGCAGCTCTTGGTTCCCAGCCACACAGCAGAGGCAGCACCCCTGGGGCTTCTAAAGGCAAGAAGTCTTAAGTCACATCTTTTGAAGGCCCCACTTAGTCGATACTCCTTCATTTTTCCAGCTACCCTATATCCATGGAGTTACTTGGAAAACTTSCCATTGTGTGGTCTGCCAGGCCTTTGCTCCTTCTGTGGTTCTGCCACCCACCTTTGCAGATCTCCCTGTAAATACTGTCTTCAGCTACACAACTGCTGCCTCCAAGCAGTAAAGCAAATACCCACCACAGCACAAAGTTCACACTTGAGTTTACCTAGGCAATAAACACTGTTGGAAAACTTGCTCTTCTGCTTCAAGTTGGGTTTTTTGGTTTTTGAGGTTTTTTTTACATTACTCTTAGCATGCAATACACTGCTTTCACAGGCACAGCATGCTTTCATGGAAGAGAAAGCACATASTAAACTAGTATGAAACACCCCAGCAGCATTCACAAAAATCCAGACACAAAAAATTAAGAAAAATTAAGAAAATTTAATGATCAAATGGGCTATATACATTGATGGCACATGACTTCATTCCGTTATCCCTTTTCTAAAGCTGGAAGTTTGATAGAAAAATATCAACAGTCAATAGTACCCCAGGGACAAGAAAAACCAACCCCATCTGCTGTTAAAGTGCGTATTTGATGTGAGTCTCAGCTGCCTACACCCAGAGTATCAAACGATTTCAGCCCATCAGACAGAATATTGTACAGGAACACCTCAAATTAAGAGCACACGAAACTTATGTTTTAAATAATAGCTGATGTTTTATGTAAGATATTCTTCCATCTCTTTCCACCATATGATCTTTTAGAATTCTTTGACATTTTGAAAAGCAGAAAAAATTCTGCCTTTCTCTCACTCTTTGTGTGTATCTCCTCACAAGATACTAAGTTAAAAGTTCACACGACTACACTCATCCAAATAGTGTATTGTCAGGTACTTCACTGTTTCTTCTGCTTACTTCCTTTTTCCCTCTCGAACTCAGCTATCTGGTTGAATATGTTCACTAAGTTCTGGGGCAGGTTTCTTTTACCACTACTTTCTGCTTGTTCTGTGCCATTTAAAGGCACTTCCTCATCTGGTTCCTTTGTTTTATCAGGCTCTTCATAACTTCTTTTTCTATTCTTAGACTCRCTTTCATTTTTATGCTGCCTGTCACTATCGTAATCTTTGTCACCTTCATGTGAGCAGCTGCTAGAATATGACCTGTACTTCCATCCTGACCTGCCAGAATGGTCAGACCCCGGGGACATGTAATACCTGTCTTGACCTGAGCCATGTCTCTTAAATGGTTCTCTTCTCCACTCTCCATCCCTTTCAAATCTCCTGTAATAATGCATCCTGGGTTTATAATCTGACTTATGATACGAGCCTGAAGAACCCCTCCAACTGGAGAAAAATCTTTCTGGTTTACCGTACTTTTCAGTTTTGCTATGACTTGGCTGACTTCTGGAGCTACTGTAAGAATCTCTTGAATCTTCAGACCTACCTCCAAAAGTGTCTTCATCATCACCTGAAGTCCTCGAAAAAGAACAGTGTCTGTCTTTCTCTTTTACCTCCGTTTTTGGACATGCTACGCTGTCCTGCCTTTCCAGCAGCTTTTCCACTTCAAAACTTTGGTTAAGAAAGGAAGCAGAGGTATCAGCAGGAGGGGAATACCACTCCTCTTTCCTATTCTGATCTTTATAATGGGAAGAAGCTCTAGATGAGCTTTTCTTGGAGCTGCGAGCAGACTCAGATCTATGCCGACGCTTTTTCCTACGTTTCTTGTGATCAGAGGAAGAGGAGGAAGAAGAAACTGATACATCTGAAGATGAATCGCTTGATGATGATGATGATGAGGAGGAGGAGGAGGAGGAGGAAGAAGAGGAGGAGGAGGAGGAAGTCGATACTTTCCTTTTCTTCTTCAACCTAAAAAATAATTAACCTGTGAGATAACCTTCAGTATCAGGTAAAACCTACATGTAGAAAACAAATCTGTACACCCTACTCTGGACTGTAAGGTGGGAACAGAAACTGAACCTGACCTGGCAAGATAATTTCAAATGTCATTTCTTAATCAAAAAATTAAGATGAAATCCACTGAACATTTTGTCATAAACAGTACCTTTCCCAATTTCACATGGCATTAYACTTTGCAAATAGGTCGCATCACAAAGTATTTCTTAAACGACTTCTCCACACACCCCTCGATTAAAGGTTATATGCACTAAAGGACATTATMCACAAAAACATTCTGAAGGAAATGCAGCTTACCCAGGGAGAAGTTCTCCCCAGCTTACTGTTTGTTGAGATGGATTGYTCAATCTCATCTGCACTTATTGCCACATAACCAGTACACTGAATTGAACAGTTACCTTTTTTCTTCTTTTAAGAGCTTACGCAATTTTTCTGCACTTGTTTCTATTTTCTTTGCTTTCTGTCTCTCTTCTTTGGCAGCTTGTTTCTCCCTCATTTCCAAAGATTTCTTTTTTGAACCCAAGCATCATAAAAAATATTAATTAGTAGTGTTAACAAGGGTATTTTCCCCCCATTCAACCCCATTCAAATATATACACCAGGAATGTTTTACCAGGATTCCCAGACCAAAATTGAATATTGTTCAGGAATTTGGTATTGGCCATTGTGACAGTCAGGTTTATATTCAAAGACCATATTGCAGTTTTTATTCCATTAAAAATATATTTGACCAGTCATTGCAGTGGTACCCGTGATCCAGCACACCAGGAAGCAAACAGCCCAAAAGTTATACAGAATATGCAAAAAAATCCCCAATATTACCAACATGTAAAAAAATAAGGAAAAAAATCCCAAAYAACCRAAACAAAGAGGAGAGTTTGTGGGGAAGTGTCATCATTATTGTGGTTTACAAGAAAAGCATGGCAGAACCCAGTTGAAGATGAATTCAAGTTGGCCATGTTTGAATACAAACCATTTTGTAATAATTTCACAGAGCAGTTTGATGCATAGTTTACGTAAGGAATCACGTTCCAGGGGGTTGGTGGTGATGAGCAGCACCAGACGTCAGACACAGCAACAACAGTTCCGTTCAGAGGAAAATGCATTGGAGAAAAACACATAATCAGTATTACAGGAAAACACACTRCAGAGTTGTTTCAGCCATTCCACAAAGCACAGACAGTATCAGACTTATGTATTAAGTTACAGGTAAATGCAGGAGAGCATCTAAGCAGATTAATAATCCTTAAATTACTTAAGTCTGTAAGAGATCAGACTTCTGCCACCTACAGCCTTACAGAGTAACTCTATTGAGATTGAACAGAAAGTCTGATTATAGTTTTCAAAATTGAGCAACTGTCTTACAGCTATAATAAAGGAAACCCTTCACTGCAGCCAAGGCCATGCATAGCAACAAACAACAGCTATCGTGTTCCTTATCTGCTGCATCAATGACTATAAGAAAATGTCAAAGGAGTAACGTTAATCTTCAACTTGCTGAGAATATCCTTCATCATTTTAACTGACACCTCTACTAAAGCAGCTGAGTGCAGGTACTGTTCAAATAACATATACCTCTTTGGTGTATCTATGGTGTAGCTCAGTTTTATCATGATTGTCCTATCTCCTCTTCCCCCTTGTTTCCACATCCTRTCAGCATTATGGCTCCACCAACTGAAGAACTGCTGACTAAAGCCATCTACCCCAGCCTATGTACATCCTCACATGCAGAAGCACAGAACAACACAAGCCTGTTCCTCTATTCTACTCTTTGACCCACTCTGGAAGACAACACAAGCAAAGGAGATAAAAAAAGGGAAAAGATGACAACTCAGATTAGCACAGAGACCCAGCGGGCTCACCTGGGAAACATGCTGTGTGCAAGGGAAGAGAGAAAAAAACCACCAGACAGCAGAGGAGAAAGCTGAGATATTCAGACTGTCTGCACACCCACCCTCCACCTTCTGCTCTTTTCCTTTCAATTACCTTTTAATTTCCCTCTCAAGTGCTCTCCCTGTGCCGCAGCTTTGCCTGGCCTTACTCTATCTTTCTGCAATTACCCCAAAGATSAAGAGTCTGGCCAAAACTATGGTAACAATATTTGGCTTGTGGAAGTGTTTTACACTTTGCACATCTGTATTCACAGAATGTTTTAAGTTAACCTCATTAATAATGCTGTGTGATGGGATAGTCTTATCCCTGCTTTGCTCTTTCCCTGTCTCCACTGTCTGGCACTTCTTTACTATCCCAAAAGAGTGGAGTCACCAAGAGGTACCTTTCTTCTGGTAGGTACAGCCATAATGCTTACTAGAAAAGATTTACTGTGGAGTAGGGAAGCAGAGAATAAGACAAACCATCAATTTAACCCCTCCCTATTTAAAAGATTTAATATGATTTTTGATGTTCATTTATTGTCACTGAGASCACCAAATGAAAAGAAAGTAAAGAATCACCTGGATGTGCTTACGGAGTTTTGTTAAGGCCTCTTCTGCTTCCTGAAAAGTCTCATCCAAGYTTAAGGCTTTTTTATAGTAACTTTCAGCATTTAATAGTTTCTCTTCCTCTTCCAATCTAAAATTAAAGTGATGATTCATATATAGTTAGGACACAGATTTTGACAGCTTTTTCTTATTTTAGGACTTTCTTATTTGCAAGTATTTCTTATTTGCACTATGACACTACTACTGCATCYGAGACCCCCTCTATCATCTCAGCCTACCTCAGTAATAACACAAAACAGTATTTCTGACCTTATCATCTCCTAATCCTGACCTGTAACACTTCTTTGAAATGTCAATTCCACTTTGAAACATACTGTCTCTCTCTTCTTAACACAGGGCTAAAAAGAAACCTATTCCCTGAATATTCAAAATTAAAATACTGCATTACAGTGGTTTACCAATATTTCAGCAGAACATAATTTCTTTACAAATTTTTTTTAAAAAGCAAACAAAACAATCCTCAACCTTTTGGAACATATTCAAAGAATTCACAGGACATTATGCAAGTCTGGTATCCTACCAGTGAAAGGGTATCAGGGATCAAAAAGGATATCAAGGATTAAATCTCAAATATTTTGCCAGGATTTTAACTGGGACAAGGACAAAGTGTAAACCAATTACACAAGGAGGGATATTTACAAAGACACTTTTTTTACATTGAACACATAACTAGGAAGAAAGGATGCTATTCTGTGTCCTCAGTAGAATGGCATTAAAAAAAAATCTTATGAGAAAACTTAATACCAGCCAAACCCAGAACCCCAACACTTACTGCCCGCCTCTTTCCACAAGGGTTTGACACAGGTATTTCCTCGCATTTCTATGGGTAGGAC